GAGTCCAAGTAGGTAGTTGATTCTTTTGTTCAACTCACGATAATCCGCACACAATCTCAAGCTACCGTCCTTTTTCTCAACTAGCACAATGGGAAAAGCCCACTCAGAGCTGCTTCTTTCTATCACCTCCTATCCTCCAAATCTTTTAGGAGCTCTTTCAATTTCTCGCGCATACCTAGTGGGACAGGCCTTGCCTTCATTTTGATGAGTTTGCTGTCTCCCGTTTCGATATTCATTTCAACCACATAACATAACCACATCTGATGATAGTAAAGATTTGAAAAGTGGTGCGCAAGAAAGTTAGAAGAAGAAACAAGGCACACTCGTGGATACAAGCCTGCTGGACCTGATAATCGAGCTTTTACACTTATTGCGAAGAATCTACAACAACCTGAAAGTCGTACAGAAACTAAGAACACACTGGACCCAGTTGAAGAAAAGCGCGATTCCGACGTTGCGAATCGAAAGAGTAAAATCATAGTGTCGGCAAACGCAACGTGCGCTCAGTGATAGCCGCAAAGTGAAGGCTGAAACCGGATCAAAACAGGCCGCTGAAAGCACCAGCAATGAGAAATTGAGGTTCGATATGACGACGTGCCAAGGAGCGGACGACTACACAAACCCAGCTGATGTGGCAGAAAAGGAGTGCCGGTCCAAAATACACAGGCTGATGTTCAGGACATTGAATCTCCTGGCAGTGCTGCAAAAGTGGAATCCGACGATAAGGTGGACATGAGTGGATTCAATTCTTGACCCTCACGCCACTTTTCTGTTCCCCATTAGCCTATCTCGTCGCCCTCCTTACATATTGTAGGCTCATCACTATTGTTCATTATGGGCATGTCCTCCTCCTGACACTTGATTCTATATAACCAGCCACTATACCATTCTTACGCGGCTAAATGATGCGATCGTCCTTGCTGCTGTGCCCTTCACATCAAGCCGACACAATCGCTGCCGCCCTGGGGCGATGTAAGCCCTTTTAGCAACTATCACCTTCCCTTTAGTTACCTCGTTCTTCCGTTGACAACAGTAGCTGTCCACAAAATCATTCCGGTGAATTAGTACGTAAAAAACAAAACCTCTTACTTCTTTAAATCCAGTACATGGAGTGCTACCTCAGCCTTTTTTCTCCTTCTAGCGCCACAGCGATCTTCACTGCACCCATGGACTCAATGCGATTACCTGATGCGTCATAGACTGGGATCATTGCCGCATCATGTATTCCAAGCTATCAACGTCAAAGCCACCGGTTTGCGCCTGAGCTAATACCTTTATTGGTATGATGTCGGTCATGGACCCTGTGTCGAGAAGCGCCCTAACTCGGGTTGACAGCATCTTGGCCCATACTGACCAAATCTCATCTATCAGTAGTCCTTTACCAACCTCCTTGACTCGTATGCCTAGGCTCCGTGCTCTATGAATCATTTGCAACATGCTATCGGGACCCCTCTCATTTCCTTTGGCTTCGGTGCCTCCGCTATCTGGTTAACCCTTGGCTTCTTCAGCGGGCCATCTCGTCCAATGTGTCCTATTTTGGAACAGTTGCAACACTTACGCTTTTTCCTGCTCACCCTATTTGGAGGCCTACTTTCACTCGCTGCTGTTCTCAGCTCTCGTCCTTCGTGATGAATCGGTTCACCTCTGAAGTTGGGGCTCCTCGCTTCCATTTCTGGACTGACTGGTCGCCTACCAACTCGTTCAAATGCTTGGTTTGGAGCATTGCCTCG